CTCGGACCGCAAGCCGAGAGCTCCCATCCGAGCAGCTCCGCTCCGAGACCTAATGCCGACGCCGCCGCCTAATATTGCGAGCAGCCCGCGGAGCACATGAGCGTCGACGCAGGGCGTTCAGCTCGCAGACCTTGGCTCGACCGCGCTCCGCGGCCAAGATCTCGGGCAGGTTATCTCCGATTAGACAAAAGTTCCGAGTCACAGTGTAGCCAACATGCTCCTGGAGTCACGGCGCAGACCCAACGTCGACGCTCGGGCTTCCTTGTCGCGGGCGGCGTCAGCCCGACGCCGGGCCCTAACCACCGCGCGACGCTATCGGGGGCGGTCGCTGAAGTACGACCTCGGGCAGCGAGTGCGTCTCGACCAAGCTCCGCGCCCGTCCGGGCGCGGATCGCGACGAACCAGCTCTCCGCGATGTCGAGGTAAAGTCAGCCAGCCCAACGACCGAAAACCCCAGCTCCGACTCGAAGACGGGCGCCAGCGAGGTCGGCCCCGCGTCGATGGAGCACCGCGCAGCGTCGCCCAGGTCGCTCTCGTCAGCGCAAGCCCCCAAGGCGCGGACGCGACATCTCTCCCTCCACGCCGTGGCCGACAGCGCCTCGCCCGAATGGAAGCGGCCGAAGCGGGCCGCGTAGCCGGTCTCGCCGGCGCCCGAGCAGTAGACTGTCGCAGACGTCTTGAGGCGGAAGTGGTGGCGCACAATGAAAACTAATCCCGCGGCCGCCTGGAACTCGCCAATGACGACCGGCGTGAATGAGCCCGCCCGGCCCTCGCACTCAAACTGCCGCCGCCAGGACATATGCAGCGCGCGCATGACTTGGGGAAAAACGTCAGTAAATGGTTGACGACGTGTCCGATCAAACACTAAACCTGGCGATCAGACATCGTCCAGCTCCGAATGGCAGCGTGTAGTTCGCAATGCGCAACCTCCAGGCGCGCTCCGGCTCATGCGTAGCCGCAGGGTACGTTCGGTCAGCGATGACCAACCCGAGCTGGGCAATGATCTTTTGCGCCCGAACGTCATCGCGCCAGACGAAGCCCCTGCGTCGGAGATCATCAAACAGGCAAGTGAAGAAACCCAAAGCATCTCGCATGTCCCAGCATATCAGGAAGGCGTTGTCGACGCACGGGGACAGGATTGGCAACCCTGGCTGCAGAATGGGAACCGGGTGTCGGTCCCTCGACACCCTGGCGTGGACTGAGCCTCTGTTGGTCTCGCGCAGCCGCGCCATCGCGGCCGCGATCTGCGCGTCCGTCAGGGCGGCGCGGCAAAAGAAGAGCGACCAAGACCAACCCGTTGGAATGACCTTCACGCGCATCCACAAGGTCTCACGCTCATCCGCATCCGTCCAACAAGACTGATCATCATCGGACACGCGCGATGCGCCGTAGTCACCAGCGGTGGCCCTGTGGGGTAAACAAAAGTAGCCAGCGACCCCCTCGACCTCGAACTGGAAGTAGCCGTCGGCGAGGTCAGCTCCTGAAACATGCGCGCCCAGTGGCCTTCCGCGTCGGCTGCGGCCATCCACCATCGTCTCTCCATCCCGCAAAGCCACGGCGGCAAGGGGCGAGGCAGTCGCCGGCTGGCTGACGGGAGGCTCTCGATGAAGAGAATTCGCTGGCCGACAATCAAACGCAAGTCTCAAGTGATAGCCATCCTTCTCGATTGCCGTGAGAACTCCCACGCGGCAGCGAGCACGCCGCCCCCGCGCTGTGCAGCTCACGAGCGAGTGCGCCCATCTGACGAGGCTGCCACAGTACAGAGTCCAGGTAGGGCTTGATCGGACTCTCACGCGCAATCTGGTTCTCGCCAGTCGGCGCCCGAAAGTTATGTTCGTTTCTATGGGGGCTTAGGGCTGTCCAAGAGGTTGGCTGCATAGCGGCAGATAGCGGCAAATAGCGGCGATTGGTCGCCAGGTGTGGCGAGCGCCGAAACCCTTGAACCATGGCGCCCTTCCTCGCCCTTCCTCCCCCCCTCTCCTCCCCCCCCTCCTCCCTCCTCCTCCTCCTCCCTCCTCCTCCTCCTCTCCTCCCTCCTCCCTCCTCCTCCTCCCTCCTCCCCCTCCCTCCCCTCCTCCTCCTCCTCCTCTCCCTCCTCCTCCTCCTCCTCCTCTCCTCCTCCTCCTCCCCCTCCCCCTCCCCAAGCGCGCCCCTGCCGTGCCCTGCCAGCGCCGCAATCACTTGCGAACGCCCGCGCCGCCCACGCGCGGGCCCCGCGCAAACCGCCTACCGATCCCCCCATTCGCCGCTAGTGGCCGCTAGACGCCAACAAAGAAAACTTTCCGCGCGTTTCGAAGCTTCCATGCAATCAAACCTACCGAAATATCCAACCGTCGGGATCCACCGCCACGGGCCGAGCGCCAGGCCCGACCACAGCTCCGAAGGGGCTCGGGGTGAGCGCCTCCGTCTCTGACAACTCTGACTCGATCCGCATCAAGAGGCCGTCGAGCAGCGTCATCCGTCGCGAAATCGTAAGCATCCAGAGCTCGAAGAACATTACGGAGAGCGCCCTTCCTTCCAAGTCCAGAAGGAGGCGGGCCGAGGTTATTCAGCCGCTTCCGCAGCCGGGCCCCCCACGGCGCGCTGCAGCGCGGCAGTGGCCGCCGCGGTACCGCGCAGCTGAAGACGGTGCCCCGCTCGAGCCGCTGCCAAGGCGCTCAGCGCGCTGACGGTCTCCGCGAGACGCCGATCGCAAGCCGCCCACCAGCGCCGCGACGCTGCCAGCAGGAAGGTCGGGCAGCTTGTCCGCGCGCACGGGGCCATCGCAACCCGAGGCCGTTATCCGCGCGGAAGAAAAAGGAACAGAGGAGGAACGGGGGGCGCCGCGGCCAACAGCGCTCCCCTCGGGCCTCAGGGCAATCACTGCCCCGGCGGCGACGACTTGTCGCCGCCGCCGCCCTTCCGGCTCTGGTCCTTCTGTCTCTCGTTTTCAGCAATCGCTCGGACTTCAAGATGATCGTCTGAGTCTTCCGTCGCTCGGCCATCTCCGCATCGAGCTTCGTGGTGACCGCGCCTCCACTGGTGTCGAAAGCGTGTGACATATGACTCCCCAAGCCATCACAATCATGGTTCCGAGGATTATTCTTCACAGCTCTCTGCATCATGAAGGCGCGCCTCGCGATCATCTCCGCAGAAGATGAGTTGGGAAGATTGATCTGATCATGCACCACAGTCATAGGCAACATGTTCATCATATGGAAGTGCACAAGCGCAACGGCGGTCCTCTCACCCACAGTACTGCTGCGTACCCATTAGTTGTGATACGCGGCGAACTCATAGCCCACCGCCGCCACTCCCCGCGACAGCTCAAGTACAGCACGACAATTATGGAAAAGGGGCCCCGTCGGCCACGGCAGCCTGCTCCATGGTCTTCAAAGCTTCCTTCAGGGTGCCCATACGAAAACCAGTCGAGGGGTCCAGGCTCAACGGCAGCAGACGGGAGCACCTCCTCTCGCCGCAGAGCTTCTCTTGCAACCACTTGGTTTTGTCCTGAGGCCGAACTCTCTCCGCTGTCCACTCTTCTCCTCGCTTGACCAAAGACACCGATCCCCGATGCATCGCCAGCTCGTCATTACCCTGAACGGCATCGTCGACATCTTCCCAAAAAAAACCGTCGACGGGTCAGCGTATACCACGACCGATGCCCCATCAGGGGCGGCAGCAGGGTCGCGAGGGACAGAAGCAGGAACCGCGGCTCTCCTGATCTCGGACAACGCCTTTGCCTCAGAACGGATCCGAGCAAGGTCCTGAAGTGCAATCGGGTTGTCGAAAGCGTACACATTCAGGCCGACTGGGAACGGAGCGTTCCTGCTCAAAGGTCGCGGACTCGCCACCACCGTTCGATCCGCAACATCAACCACTCGAACCGAAAAGCCGGGAGTAGACCAGATCCACATGGAGGCCTCTAGCTTGACCAGCAGAACTCTGTGATACTGTGGTGATAAAATATCTTATCGTCGGGATAGTGAACCAAAACCTGTTACTGGAGTACCCGGACTTATCGCGACAGCTCAGCGCGTACTCTCTGGCTCTCTGGTGTGTCCACGTCGACCACCGCCAGGTACCCACGGTCCCGACAACAGGATCCGATTACACAATAGCAAATCAGCGACACGAAGATGCCCACAAGCACACCCAGCGCGAAGCGCCGCGCAGACAACGTCAGGACCGACTCGTCTGGCTCCCGCTGGGGAACCTCGCAAGGGGTAGGCGACGGGATAGATTCTCATAGCTTCTCCACCAATGATTCGATGAGGCCCCCGAGTCGATGCAGTCGCCCCGTGCCGGCACCCGGCGTCTCACACGGCGCAACCTGAGGACAGGTCAGCGTGGGACACTCCGCGCAACGAGGGCACTCTGGTACCTGCGGGAAGGCTGGGCAGACGAGGCCAGGGCAGACTGGGCCAGTCTGGCGATCCCAATCGTAGAGATGTCCCACGTGCAATAGAGCGTTCGGCCAGGGCGCGAGCCCGGCCACCGCTTCCATAGCACGCCTGAACCAGAAGGACTGCGGAGCATACACTACCCATGATGCCCCCCTTCCCCTTGAGGTGGAGGGAACATGGAAACATAGTTACTGGGCATAGATAGATAGATAGATTCCGGAAACCCTGACCCCACACATTTTGGACGCCCGAAATGGGCACGGACAGAATGGGTACAATGCCCAACAACAAACGCTGCCCCAAAACAACAGCGGCCACTGTTGGGCAGGCGGCCTTCCGTCTCAGATGGACACAGGCCGCGGCAACACCGACACGAGTCCCGTTCAAACTGAACAGGAACTCCTGTTGGGCATTGTACCCATTCTTTCCGTGCCCATTCCGGTCGTGCCGACAAATGTTGTCATCTCTCGCGGGCGCAACTTCCACTTCCGCTGGCCTTCCGCCGGCGTCCGCCGCCGGGGGCGGCCTCGTTTCGCTTCCGCCGCCCTCCGCCGCTCTTCTGCCACCCTCCGCCAAGGAAGAGATGACAGCTCCTCCGATCCTCGGAGGCGCGGCCCTGTCTGAACGCCTCATATGCTGTTTAGGGGTCTGCTGGATGGGGCAGATGTTGATGGTGCACTGCCGGATCTCCAAGAACGTGCCACGGCCGTCCAGCGAGGCCTCGGGGCTCGCAACCTTCAGCAGGCGCTCCGCCTCCGCCCGCTCGGACGCCAGCAGCTTGTCGAGCTCCTCCCGGAACTTCTGCCACCTGCACGGGCGGAGCAACATGGGGCCCCTGTCCAGCGGCGCGCACAGATGGGGCGGCGCGAGGTGAGCGACGAAAAGAAGCGGGTCTTACGCGAGGTGGCATAGCGGCCTAATGCGGTGGCTTACGCGGGCCGTCAGCGCGGCACGCTTTACTGGAAGCAAGGGCGCTCGCGCGCGGCCTCATGCGAGCAGCTTACGCGCGAATGCGGGAGCAGACCCCGTTTTTTTTGCGTCGCCCAGGTGGGGGGCTGGCCTTCGGGCAGGGGCGGCAGGCTTCTCAGAGGCACTCCTCGGCTACACGCGTAAGAGGTGACCCCAGGCAGGAGTGACCTGTGGTGCGCGACCTTTGGGGGCCGCGGGGAGGCCGAACTGGAGCGCGCCAGCCGCTGCTGTCACGTCGCGTTCGGCCATCTGGAGGCCATCTGTGCCCGCACCAGAGGTCACTCCGGCGAAAGGTCACTCTTACGCACCGTCGAACTCCCAGCCTCTGAAGGCCTCTTTGGAGTCCCGAAACGGTGCGGTGACACACCGTGCGGTGACCTCGAAATGCCCCCAGACCTCACCGCACGGTCCGTCACCGCACGGTTTGGGGACCCTGGAGGCCCCTGCCGCCCGAGACGTCCTCGGAGAGCGACCCGAGTCCCAAAACCGTGCGGCGACCCCGAATCCCGACCGACTCACCGCACGGTGCGGTCACCGCCCCGTTTGGGGGCCCGGGGCCCTCCTCGGAAGCCTCCGGGGCCCTTCCGAGAAGGCCGCCCCCTCGCGCCCGCCGCCCGCCGTGCGCGGCGCTGGGGCCTGCGTGCAGGAGGGCGCCGACTATACGCCAACACCGATCCCGGCCAGGCCAATCCTGCGACCAGGATCGGTGTATATGCCTTCCTGCCCCAGGCAGGAGGGCATGTACAGTCAACCCGCACAGTAGGGATGGGCAACCTTCCCAGGGGCACCCTTGCATCCTCGCCTCCTCGGTCCATCCTTGGCCGGTTTCGTTGGCCACGTCGTGCTCGGCAACACCGATCCTGGCCAAGATCACCCTGGGCCCAGGATCGGTGTACAGTCAACCCGGATAGTAAGGATGCGGGATAAGACTGCAAGGGTCTTGTAGGGCCACTTCGAAGCTTTCCGAGCACGACGCGGCCAACGAAACCGGCCAAGGATGGACCGAGGAGGCAGGGATGCAAAGGTGCCCTTGGGAAGGTTGCCCATCCTTACTATGCGGGTTGACTGTACACGCCCTCCTGCCTGGGGCAGGAAGGCATATACACCGATCCTGGGCGCAGGATTGGCCTGGCCAGGATCGGTGTAGGTGTACAGTCTGGCCATCGCTCGGACGTCCATTTATATAATGTGTTTTTTGTTTGGTTTCGTGCGTGGTTTCTTCGCGAAATGATCAAGGATGCTCCTCGATGGTCCTCGCCGAAGGAAAAATGCACACGTCCGAGCGATGCCAAGTAGTTGGCGACCTCCGATGCATAACGCGCTGAGGCAGGGCGAACCTGGCCGCGACGGCCTGCACGGGCCGCCGGCGCGGCATGCACCGCGCAGAGGCGAGGGGCGGCCCGCGCGCGGCCCTGTGGCGGCAGGGCTGGGAATTCAGCGGTCCCGTCGGAGGATGTACAAGGAGGCGGGAGGAAGGAGGAACAGGGGAGATATGCGGGGCCAAGCGGACACACGCCTGAAAAACACGACTGTCGGCATGCTTCGCAAGAGTTGCTGCTGTGAGATGGGCTGGTGGGGATACGCGAAGCGTAAAGAATTCAGCGGTCCCGTCGGCGATGCCTCGCGCATCGCGTGAAGATCGGTCTGGGCTCGGTTTCGGGCAAGATGCAGTCAGCCCGCTCAGTCAGGATGAGCGGCTTCTTCAAGGCTGCCACAGCAGCCTTGCCCCTTCGGCCCGTTCTCAGAGCGGCTTTCGCTGGTCAACCTCGCTCGAAAAACATTCACATGGGCCTTCGAAGCCCTTGCATCCTTACCGCGCACCCTTACAATACGGGTTGACTGTAGTTGCATGCGCAGCTCGGCACAGGCGGGAGAGAAGGGCTTGCAGCAGCGCTTCCCCACCTCCGCAGCCACTTGCCTCAAAAGCCCCACAGAGGGCCGAGCCAGCAACACGGATTCTGCACTGTACACGCGTTGAATGCGGACAAAAGACACTGTGGGCGGCTCGCGCGAAATGCCCGCGCAACCGGACGGCCCCACTCTTGTGTTTGTGCCGCTCGCCTCTTCTCGCCGAGGTGGTCCGCGAAGCTCTTGCAGTGGATTTGCTCGGTGCCCCTGGTGCATCACCCGGAGGCATTCACGCCCGCGGCCGCTTGGGGTCTTGCCCTGGACCCCTGGGGAGAGGTGGACGGGGCTTCGCCGTGGGGGAAGCGGGCCCTGAGGGAGGCGGGTCCTGAGGTTTTCCGTCATCTTCGGGCCCTCGGGGTCCTCCACGGGCCCCAGGACTGTCAGGAAGCGGCTCAGGATGAAGACCTCGTCCTGGGGGAAGGTCCTGGGGTCCAGGACCCGATTCCCACAGGACCCGTTTACCACGTACTAGCCGTCCTCTTCCTCCTTTTCCTCCTCCTCCTCCTCCTCCTCCTCCTCCTCCTCCTCCTCTTTCTCCTCCTCTTTCTCCTCCTCTTTCTCCTCCTCCTCCTCCTCCTCCTCCTCCTCCTCCTCCTCCTCCTCCTCCTCCTCCCACTCAGGACCTGCTTCCCCCACTGCCCTGGGGGGGCTCCCGCCCCCGGATGCTGGCAGAAGCCCATGGTCCACCGGGGCCCACCTCTCTTCCAGAGGCCTTCGAGATCCCGGGGCGCCACGCCAGGGCGGTGGGCCCAAGCCTCTGGCGTCGTGGCTTTCCACAGCGTGGACCCCCAGGGGTCCTAACCCGTTTCCAAGAGGCCGGCTTTTCACCCCGACTCGTTCTTGGGCGGTCCCGGGGCCTGGAGAAGACTCCCCAGAAACCCAAATTGGCGACCCAAGCCGGTCGTGTTTGTTCACGACGCGAGGTGGTGTGAGGTCGTAGATGTATCCGTGCGGTGGGCCTAAACGCGTGGACCCCGTTCTCACTGAAGCAGAAGTCGAGCCTCTCGCGCAAATCGAAACCTCCGAGCTGGCCCTGCTGCTTTTGGAAGTCCCCAGCGCCCACGATGCCCACCGCGTAGACCTGGCGCAACCGCCCTAGCAGCGCGATCATCTCATCGCTCGCTTTCTGCGCTGGCACCGCGAGGGTGCCGTCCACGTCGAAGAGCACCTCAGTAGCCAGGAAAGACGCCCCCCACACCCAGGTTATCAGGGATTGGGGTCTTCAATACGCGGCTCTGGAGCTCTCGACCCATTCCTGGTGACTTTGGCTTTCGCCCGAGACTTTTTCTTGTAAGAGTCCCTGGGCCCCAAAAGCGGCCTCCAGGGGTCCAAAACTGTGAGGAACTTCGTCTTGACATGGCTCAAGACTTGGAGGCGGCTCCAGCCGTGGCGACGAATGTATGTCCAAAGAAGCCCAAAGAAATCCAGTAGCTCGATCATCGGATTCTCCTCCTCCTCCTCATCATCATCATCCTCCTCCTCGGCTCCTCCTTGGGCCATCCTCCTCCGACCACAACGATTCCGACGATCACGACGACAACGACGGCGACGACGACGACCGACGACGACGACGACGGTGGCGACTAACAACATAATAGTAGTAATGGTAGTAGTAGTAGTAGTAGTAGTAGTAGTAGTAGTAGTAGTAGTAGTAGTAGTAGTAGTAGTAGTAGTAGTAGTAGTAGTAGTAGTAGTAGTAGTAGTAGTAGTAGTAGTAGTAGTAGTAGTAGTAGTAGTAGTAGTAGTAGTAGTAGTAGTAGTAGTAGTAGTAGTAGTAGTAGTAGTAGTAGTAGTAGTAGTAGTAGTAGTAGTAGTAGTAGTAGTAGTAGTAGTAGTAGTAGTAGTAGTAGTAGTAGTAGTAGTAGTAGTAGTAGTAGTAGTAGTAGTAGTAGTAGTAGTAGTAGTAGTAGTAGTAGTAGTAGTAGTAGTAGTAGTAGTAGTAGTAGTAGTAGTAGTAGTAGTAGTAGTAGTAGTAGTAGTAGTAGTAGTAGTAGTAGTAGTAGTAGTAGTAGTAGTAGTAGTAGTAGTAGTAGTAGTAGTAGTAGTAGTAGTAGTAGTAGTAGTAGTAGGAGTAGGAGTAGTAGTAGTAGTAGGAGTAGCAGTAGTAGTAGTAGTAGTAGTTAGTGTAGTAGTAGTAGTAGTAGTAGTAGTAGTAGTAGTAGTAGGAGGACTAGTAGGAGTAGTAGTAGTAGTAGTAGTAGTAGTAGTAGTAGTAGTAGTAGTAGTAGTAGTAGTAGTAGTAGTAGTAGTAGTAGTAGTAGTAGTAGTAGTAGTAGTAGTAGTAGTAGTAGTAGTAGTATAGTAGTAGTAGTAGTAGTAGTAGTAGTAGTAGTAGTAGTAGTAGTAGTAGTAGTAGTAGTAGTAGTAGTAGTAGTAGTAGTAGTAGTAGTAGTAGTAGTAGTAGTAGTAGTAGTAGTAGTAGTAGTAGTAGTAGTAGTAGTAGTAGTAGTAGTAGTAGTAGTAGTAGTAGTAGTAGTAGTAGTAGTAGTAGTAGTAGTAGTAGTAGTAGTAGTAGTAGTAGTAGTAGTAGTAGTAGTCGTCCCCCCAAGGCTTTGGGGAGCCTGTGGGCGGGGGGGGGTACTGCTGCCCTCAAACCGCGGGTGACAGCCACCCTTCCTTTCTCGCGCCCTCACTGTTACGAGCACTCTTCCTTGCCCTGAAGGGACGTCCTGGGATGGCGGCGGCCGCTGGCGGCGCCGCGGACGCAGGTGCAGGGGCTCGAGTGGCTGGGAGTAACGCCGCGGCGGCCCAAGATGAAGGCGGTGTGCTGGCAGCTGCGGGAGGCAGCGGAGGTGCTGGGGCCGCCCGGTGCGCCTCCGCTGCCGCTCGCGCGTCGGCTGACGCGAACGCGGTCGACATCCCCGTGGATGGCAACACCGACGTCCACATGCGGGACAGCGAGGGTCAGCCCGCACAGCGGCGGCGCCGCATGACGGGAGGGCGGATCACTCGTTGGTGCGTCAGCGCCCAGGCGGCTCGCGGCAAGAAGGCCCACTGCACCCGCTGCATGGGAGGCTTCGAGGCGGGCGAATGGCGCGTGGCAGGCGCCGTGACGCCACCCGTGGGCTCCCAGGCTCACGCGGGCAAGAAGTGGTTCCACATGGCCTGCGTCGATGGCCCCCTACCACCAGCGACGGCGATGGTGGGCTTCACCCAACTGCTGCCCTCAAACCGCGGGTGACAGCCACCCTTCCTTTCTCGCGCCCTCACTGTTACGAGCACTCTTCCTTGCCCTGAAGGGACGTCCTGGGATGGCGGCGGCCGCTGGCGGCGCCGCGGACGCAGGTGCAGGGGCTCGAGTGGCTGGGAGTAACGCCGCGGCGGCCCGAGGTGAAGGCGGTGTGCTGGTGCACGTTTTGCGAGCTCGAAACGGATAGCGACCGCACCCCCAGCGCACTCCCTTCGGCGCCGAGAAGTTGCCACGCCTGCCACGCTTTGCGAGCCCGGGACGGATAGCGACCGCACCCCCAGCGCACCCCCTGTGGCGCCGAGAAAGTGCCACGCCTGCCAAAGCTTTGCGAAGCCGAAACTGATAGCGACCGCACCCCCGGCGCACCCCCTGTGGCATCGAGAAAGTACCGCGCCTGCCACGCGTTGCGAGCCCGAGACGGATAGCGGCCGTACCCCCAGCGCACCCCCTGTGGCGTCGAGGAAGTGTCACGCCTGCGACGCTTTGCGAAGCCGAAACGGGTAGCGACCACACCTCCAACGCACCCCCTGAGGCGTCCAGAAAGTGCCACGCCTGCCACACGTTGCGAGCCCGAAACGGATATCGACCGCACCCCCAGCGCACCCCCTGTGGCGTCCAGAAATTGCCACGCCTGCCAAACTTTGCGACAGTGTCGTGGACTGAAAGGCCACCCCCTGCGCACCCCCTTGTGGTGTCCAGAAACTACCACGCCTGCTAGGCTTTGCGGCAGTGTCGTGGACAGCGGCCGCGCTGAGAGACCACCCCCCTGCGCCCCCCCTAGGGTGTCCAGAAAGTGCCACACCGGCTAGGTTTTGCGACAATTTCGTGGATAGCGGCCGCGCTGAGAGACCACCCCTGCGCACCCCCTATGGTGTCCAGAAAGTGCCACGCCTGCTAGGCTTTGCGACAATGTCGTGGATAGCGGCCGCGCTGAGAGACCACCCCTGCGCACTCCCTATGGTGTCCAGAAAGTGCCACGCCTGCTAGGCGTTTCGACAGTGTCGTGGATAGCGGCCGCGCTGAGAGACCACCCCCTGCGCACACCCTATGGTGTCCAGAAGGTGCCACGCCTGCTAGGCGTTGCGACAGTGTCGTGGATAGCGGCCGCGCTGAGAGACCCCCCCCCCGCGCACCCCCTATGGTGTCCAGAAAATGCCACGCCTGCTGGGCTTCGCGACAGTGCCGCGTATAGCGGCTTCGCTGAGAGACCACCCCCTGCGCACCCCTCATGGTGTCCAGAGAGTGCCACGCCTGCTAGGCTTTGCGACAATGTCGTGGATAGCGGCCGCGCTGAAAGACCACCCCTTGCGCCTACGGTGTCCAGAAAGTGCCACGCCTGCTAGGCTTTGCGACAGTGTCGTGGATAGCGGCCGCGCTGAGAGACCACCCCCTGCGCACCTCCTATGGTGTCCAGAAGTGCCACGCCTGCTAGGCTTTTCGACAGTGTCGTGGATAGCGGCCGCGCTGAAAGACCACCCCTGGCGCACCCCCTATGGTGTCCAGAAAGTGCCACGCCTGCTAGGCTTTGCGACAGTGTCGTTAATAGCGGCCGCGCTGAGAGACCACCCCCTGCGCACCCCCTATAATGTCCAGAAAGTACCACGCCTGCTAGGCTTTTCGACAGTGTCGTGGATAGCGGCCGCGCTGAGAGACCACCCCCTGCGCACCCCCTATGGTGTCCAGAAAGTGCCACGCCTGCTAGGCTTTGCGACAGTGTCGTGGATAGCGGCTTCGCTGAGAGACCACCCCCTGCGCACCCCCTTATGGTGTCCAGAAAGTGCCACGCCTGCTAGGCTTTTCGACAGTGTCGTGGATAGCGGCCGCGCTGAGAGACCACCCCCTGCGCACCCCCTATGGTGTCCAGAAAGTGCCACGCCTGCTAGGCTTTTCGACAGTGTCGTGGATAGCGGCCGCGCCCAGAGACCACTTGCTGCGCATCCCCTATGGTGTCCAGAGGTGCTGTGCTGTGCTGTGCTGTGTAGTGCTGAGGTGTGCTGTGCTGAGGTGCTGTGCTGTGCTGTGCAATGCTGTGCTGAGATGAGCTGTGCTGTGCTTTGCTTTGTACGTGCTGTGTGTCAATGTGCTGTGTTGTGCTTTGCTGAGCTGTGCTGAGCTGTGCTGTGCTGTGCTCTGCTGCACCGTGGTGCGCTTGCTGTGCTGTGCAGTGCTGTGCTGAGCTGTGCTGTGCTGAGCTAAGCTGTGCTGTGCTGAGGTGCTATGCTGTGCTGTGCAGTGCTGTGCTGAGCTGTGCTGTGCTGAGCTAAGCTGTGCTGTGCTGCGCTGTGATGTGGTGTATGAAAGGAGAGGGAGGAGGAAGGTGGGGTGAGGGCCGCGGGTGCGACGAGGCAGGGAAGAAAACCAGAACCCCACTAAGCATGTGGGGAAAAATCCATTGGAATTCTAAGGAGTTCTATAGGAAACTTAGAGAAACAATTCCAAAGGGTTCTCCGGAATTCCATCGGAATCCAAATGAATTCCATCGGGGTCCTAAAGAATTCCATGGGAATCCACATAAATTCCATCGAAATCTTAAAAAGCATTCCAATGGATTCCGAAGAATTCCGTAGGAATCCTCCGAAATTTCATCAGAATCCCATGGGAATCCGACGGAATTCCAAGGGAGCCCTGAGGAATCCGAATCGTTCACACGAGAATCCTCAGCAATCCCATCGGAATCCGGGGAAAGCGCATAAGAACATGAAGAGATTTCATCGGAAACCTAAAGAATTCCATAAAACCTTCACGGAACCCCATCGGAATCCGAAGGAATTCAATAGGAATCCTCAGAAGAAATAATCACACTCCTCACGCGGAACGAACGCCGGGAGCGGGGCACGCACCCGTCCTCACGAATTCCATAGTGATGCTAAGGAATTCCATCGGAATCCTAAAATATTCCATTGGAGCCCCAAGGAATTCCATCGGAATTCCCAGGAATTCGATAGGAATCCTAAGCACCCACTTAGGAATCCGGAGGA